AAGTCACATAAAATCTAACTCATGCTGGTTTAAGAAAGAGAGAGGAGAGAGATGGAAGCAAGAGAGGGAGGAAAAGACAGAAAAAATAGAGGAGGGAAGGGAAGAAAAAGAGAGGGAGAAAAGGGATGGAAAGAGGGAGGAAGGATATTTGTGCTTTGTATCAGTGAGTCAGGCATGTCTAGACACAGAGACTTGGTAGTATCAAGTCATGAGTCTGTTTCTCAGTTGGCTTTTTCAAATACAAAGGATGGTCTCCTGTTATGGTTAGAGGATCTCAACAGCTTCTGTAGATCCAGGACTGCAATACTTCTTGGAACAAATCCAGGGGCTGTATTTGAGAACCGTCATTCTTGTGTATCCATTTGAAGGCTCGTGAAATACCACTGGCTCAGAAAAGGTCATCTGCCTGTCACTGAGCCAATCATGATGTCAGGGGAGCTCTGACTGACTTTCTGCCAGAGCAAGGGTGAGAAACGGAAACTGGGAAAGTGGTGGTTTTTCCAGACAGAAATTGCATTGAGTGAGGCTGAGGAGCAGTCAAAGAACAGAAGTCTTCTCTCCTTACTGACACAGTTAGCAGGACTTTACACCTGCTTGCATCTTTCATGACATATTTAGCACCAGGCATTCTTATGCCTCCCTTGTTAGGGAAACTTCTACAAGCCTCTCTATGACTATCCCTACCATGAAAGTATCTGGAGCCATGCAGATGTGTGGGACCACAACAATGGAAGAGACACACCTTGTGAGGGCCACCGTGGAGAGAAAGGACCTGACAGGGATGACAGATGTGAAGCAAATGATTGCAATTTCCTGTGACTTGCATGACAGTGCAAACCCCGAGTGTCATGAGAAAAGACCAGCTAGCCGTGCCCCTGCTCCCCATACCAGCACTGGAGGTGTCTCTTTTTGACCCTGGGCCCTGGCCCCATTGTCCTCTCTAGTCAGGAGGATTCTGGTGAGCTCTGTGAGCCTGGGACACGGAGCAAAGTCTGCCGAGCTGCTGCTCTCTCTGCACCTAACACATGAAACATAACTTCCACTTTTCCCACCTCAACAGTTACAAATAACTCAGTCTAAACTTACTTATTATGTTCAATAAACTTAATCATGTAAGGCTAAAAAGCAAGTAGTATCTATCGTGTACAAAATAGTGCTTTTAATACTTTAGAAAAGCCCTTAACACAGCAAAGTAAAAATGTATGTGGTTTGCAAACATCTGGTTTACCTGTCAGTGACATTTTTAAAAAATGGTAGACTATCAAATGTACACATTCAGTAAATATCTATTGGACTTTTCTAATAAGATGAGTTATAGTTTGGGGGTGCTTGTATGTCCAGAGTAGGAGTAAGTACTCTGCATGTTCAGTTGTTTAATTATTTTGAACAGCCCCAGGAGATTCATATTGGTATTTTCCCACTCTAAGAAAACTGAGCTCAGAAAAGTTCAGTGATTTTCCTAAGGTTTCAAAGATAGAGAGTGGCTCAGCTCAGAATCAAAACTCAGCTTGTCTCGGTCTAGAATCAAACTGAAAACACGGCCCTAACCCCCACTACTGGCAGAGAAAGATGCACTTCCAGGTGCTAATGAAGCAGTTCTACTAGAGCTTCAAAGCACTTTCAATCTTGACAATCCCAAGAGTGATACAAAATGCTTCAGGAAAGGGATTCAGCTATTTGTAAAGATAGAGTGAAGAAGTATGTCATCTATGGGATGCTTTACAGAAAGGATGAGAAAGTAGTGAAGAAGACTAGTCCTTCAAAGAAGAAGATCAGAGAACCAGAACGGTATCAGGGCTTCACCCTGATGTGGCATGTGCTGAATTACAATCTATTGGAGGCTTCTTCATATTATTGGAGACTCCTTCTGTTAGTGGAAAGCTAAATATGCCTTATCTCTCTCCATAGCTTCATGATTGTGTATAATCATTTCCTGGAAAATAATGTTACTTTTCTTGTTCAAATTAACTTATTCCTTGAGTCTAAACCCACAGTCATAATTTAAGATTGAACAGTCTGTTGATATAATAGACACCTAAGATTAGCAGCACTTCATAGATTGCTGTAAGTGGTCAGCATACTTCAGATACCACTTTCTTGGCAAGATCTCTAGTAAGGGTGGTATGATTAGCTTTATCTACAAAAAAGCCATCACCCACTATCTATACCAGAAGATCACATCTATTCATTCCGTGAGTAACTATTACATTTTTACAACAATGTCAGTTAGGATTTTCTAAGTGTTTACTTTGTGCAAAGTAAGGCAACACTGCTAGGCAACCTACTCAATTTTTGCTTTTTTAGCCATATTTATTTACTGTTTTTTTGCCTGGTCACTGGAGCCTGTGTCTATTCTGCTTCATTTACAGCATGCCATAACAACTAACTGTGCACAGTGCTTTAGATTTTCAGGTTCTTCTCACATATTCAAGTTCACTTAGCCTACCAAAATCCTGTTCTTAGACCTCAGTATAGTTTAACCAACCTAAACTCAGAGACATTATGTAATAGACCAAGGTCAAAAATAACAAGTGGAAGAGCTAAAACAACAATTTTTGATGCCAAACTCTGTTTTCTTTCTGGAGAGTCTCACTGCGGTGGGGATCCAGCAGCAATGCTGTCCTCTGCAGCAGTGCATCACTAATCCTTGGTGTAGCATCAGCCACAGAATGGGTTTTCATTCAATATCTCTTACATTATGAATTATTGAATACATAGTAAGGTTTCAAGATTTATCTTATTCAATTCCCTACATAATAAGACAGAAACCTGAGATTGACTAAATTATCCAAGGAAAATTCATTTTAAACATAAAACAAGCTTGCCTTAATAGTAGTCCACTGAAGCCGATAACTTTTATTATGTTGTTATTATTGCTTTATAGGTTTACCTCAGCAGGTCTGCTGCCAACTCATAACTGTTCTTAGTGTAACTGTTCAACAGAAAGACAAACATTGTGATGTTTAAGAGGGGGAGAGTCCTGAATGCTTTCACACACAGCGGCCAAAGAACTTTTACTAAAATGTAATTCTCCAGGTGGTTAAAGGAAGAGCCAACAGCTTAGAGAAGGACAGGAAAGAAGCACACCCTGAAAGTAACACAGACAACACGTTTCCCATTTCCCTCAACTTCACTTTCCTTGAGAGCCAAAAAGTGACAGCCTCCACTTCCAGCCTTTGAATTCTCATGATATCAAGGTTTTAATTCTAGTTCAATTTAGTACTGAAGTGACTTTGAGAAATTTGATGAATGCCTGTACTATAATGTGGGAAAAGAATACTCTTTCAGTGGGGGAAGAGGATTAACAACAAAGAGTGAAGAAATGTCATGTACATGTACCAACTCCCCAGGGTGAATGTAATTATCGTACACTACAGGTATATGCCAATCAAAAATAAATAAAAGGATGATTAAGAGCACTCAAACAGTTGCTGCAAAGAACTGGAATATATCACAAACCTTTGAACTTTCCTTTCCCTCCTTAAAGAGTGGGAAATCATCACTACAGCTGTTACCTGGAAAAATCTTGACAGATTCTTTCAACATTTACTTTGTCCCCAAGTCTAAGCTCCTTTTAAAATTAATATTTATACTTAGAAATAGTATATATTTATCTAATCACTCCACAAAGCAAAATACTACCATAAGCCAAATGTACAGAATGTCTTATGACAAGGCAGAGATAAACTGGTCAACTCTTATGCCCAAGTATGTTTTGTATTTTAAAGCTTCTATTGTCAAAAGATTTTATATTTAAATTTATAATATAAAGTGAATAAACCATATTTTAAAGTTATTGATAAAATATAATCTTAGTATTTTTTTTTTACCTCCTGTATAATTCAGGAAGCTCAGAGCATTACATCTTCTGACTGGTTGAACCTTTTGTTTCAGTATTTATTTAGTTCCTCTTGCTGGCCATGTTTTCCTTATTTTATTATTTCAGAAACTTTAAAGGCATATGGCATATCCTGATTCTCCATAAAAATAAGTGCACTCTGATCCTAATCATAAGTATGGCTAGGTTTTATTATCTGTAGCAAGGGAGGCCTCTTAAAATTAAGACAAACAATTCTTAGTGCAGCATAATAATTTAATATTTTGAACAGAATGTCAATATTCACCTTTTACTTTTAGCTTTGTAATAAGAAGACATTAATAGAGGTGGTTGGACTCTCTGCATAACCAACTGAAGTCTACTGCAGGGCCTGGTATTCAGTTGAGCTCAGTGTACTCTTCCCGGTCCTATCCCCTTTCCTTCCTTTCAGGGTAGTCCCACTCCCAACCACAGCTCCATTGCCATGTCTTTCCTCTTGTCCTACTCTTATGTTTTAGCTCCTTGTTCTGAATGCTGTCCTATTTTGGCAAGTCCCATTGAACTTGCTTTATATTACTCAGAACTATTCCTTTACCTTGTTTGTATTGGCATTGAGAATGCAAGGGAACAGCTCATCACTGTGGGTGTTAGGCAGCATGAGTTAAAAGGAAATTGTACACAAATGCACCTGCCACATCCAGCAAGCACTTGATAATTACACAGTACTTTTGGTTTTATTTTATTTCATTAATTCATATATAGTTAGGCTACTCTTGTGAGCACAGTTCAGTGATTACTCCCCAACTCTCTCTCATACCTAGTACAATTTAATTTTTTATGTTCATATCAAGGCTATAAATTCTTTTAAAGAATACTGTGTCTTCTATTTCTTTGCATGCTTTAAGTAGAAATAATGAAAGCTGTATGAGCAACAGTCTAATACATGATCATATTACAGGAATCCTCTAGAGTTGGATTGCTATAGCATTTAATAGACACTAAAATTGAAACAAAAAAATAGATCACAGCAGCAGAGTCACAGTTCAAACTCACATGGTTTGGTAGCACAGCTTGTTTCTTTGGTGCTAGCATAAATACAACTGCAAGCGTGTCTTAGTTTCTTGATTGTAAGCACCAATGAAATCTTGTTTTCAGCGTCTGCTCTGATTCTTCTCCCTTGCAGATGGACCCCCATGAGAACATTTTACTGAGCACTCTTGAGATCAAAAACGAAATGGCCACCTCGGAGGCTGTGATGGGACTCGGAGACCCTAGGAGCACAATGCTGGCTTATGATGCCTCCAGCATCCAGTATCGGAAAGCCGGCTTGCCCAGGCATAGTTTTGGCCGAAACGCTCTGGAACGACATGTGGCACAAAAGAAAAGTCGCCTGAGGAGACGCGCCTCTCAGCTGAAAATCACCATCCCCGACTTGACTGACGTGAATGCCATAGATCGGTGGTCCCGCATATTCTTCCCGGTGGTTTTCTCCTTCTTCAACATCGTCTACTGGCTTTACTATGTGAACTAAACTATGGCCTCCTGCGGGAAGCAAGGACTAGATTCTTCCTCAAAACAGTTGTACAGCCTGACGTAGGACTTGGAAAACACATCAATCCAGGACAAAAGTGATGCTAAAATACCTTAGTTGCTGGCCTATCCTGTGGTCCATTTCATACCATTTGGGTTGCTTCTGCTCAGTAATGAATACACTAAGGTGGTTTTCCAGTTAAATGAATTCATTTCCAGTAATGAATACACTTGTGGTTTTCCAGTTAAAAGACAAGTGATCTGTACACATGCAGGGCAAACTGAAGTTGAGTGCTTCACTTTATCTGCTTAATAAGTAGCCTACTGAGAGGGGAAATATCTAGATGATATTCTGAGAAGGCTCAATAGTATTGTCATATGGTCATATTCAGATACTGTTCATCTCATTCCTAAGGTTGACATGCTATTGAGATAGCACTGTGCTTATGAAACATTATCTGCAATGTCATTTGAGCATGGCAACTCCAAGATGGTCTGTGCTGGTCTTCTTAAGGTGATATGGTGTCAGGTGATATGGTGTCAGGTAATTCCCACTGGACGAGCAGTTTCTGTCTCGTGTAAAGGGAGCGGGATCAGGGTGGGAAGGTGGAGTGAGGAATAAGGCAGAGATTCAAGAAACCAACTAGGCCCATTTCTTCTTCGGCTTGAGCACAGAGAATCAAGAACAAGGATGTCTTTCATTTTGGCATTTAGACAGAGAGAGACTTGTGAACATTATCATGCTTGGCAGCCAAAATTTTTTGCAAGAATGCTCTTTAGTAGGTAGTTAAGGTTAAGGGTTAACCATACAGAGCAGGGTCAAAAATCCAGAAATGACTATTGTAACAAAATGGAAGCAAGCAAGCTAGCATGGTCCCTATCAGCTCTACTTGGCATCTGGTCTACACACACTGTGTCTGGTAGAAAGCTTAGAGTGAGAGGAATTTATTTTCTGAACTCAGAATCTTCTGAAAGCATCCTTAAAGAGGTTTTAATAGTTTAACCTAAAGATGGCTATGAAATAGAAAAGTTAGATTTAGAATGAGAAGTATCATAGATGTTCACATTTGATTAGGAGTCATTCAAACACACAGATACCAAGACAGACAAAGCTAACAGGTTGTTTTTTCTCAGACAGTGTCAGCTGTCGTGTAACATTTCCATATCAATTTACTTCTACATTTAATAGGGTATTTCAAAAAGAGGATATATTCATTGCTTTACAGCTTTTCTTGCTTCCAAAATTCTCACTATATTCCTTGATAGTAGGCATAGTAAAACTTTGGAGAGATTGAGTGAGCCTTATTTTCACAATGAATTTCACTATATTTTAGAATAAAATTACCTTTCTATTTTTCAAAGCAAACACTATTTTGATGAGTATGTGCACAAAGACCATTACTTTATAGGTTTGTCAGTTTTGGTTTTTTAAGGGTGCTTATTTTATGTATAGTGCATTCTGTCAGTCAAGAAATATATAAAAACTGGTAAACAGTAAGATAACAACAAAGTTACATGAATGAGATGCGTGTTATGAGCCTCGGTTAATATTGCAGAAAAGAATATTTAACTGACAATCAGGCTGGTATGATGTATTTTATTCTATTTTGAAATTATGCCATTGTGTTTCTTTCTATAATAATTGGACATATACATTCACATATTGGACAGAAGAGAAAATAAGCTAATATACTTTATTTCTAGCAAGGTGAAGCTCAAATTTTGGTTTACTTGTAGTAAGTAGAGAATTACTAAATTTCCCATGAAGTTTGATTTGATTGTACTTTTCTCAGAAGGTTACTTTGCTATTTCTCTTTTGTTAAAATGCCTCTTTTCAGAGTAATATCCATAACTGTGCGTGAGAGCAAAGGCTATTACCTTACTACTGAAAAATGATGCTTTTTTTCCCTTCGTGAGTCAGTAGTCTGGAATATGATGAAGTCTCACTGCCCTTCCATTGTAACTATTAGAGAACAAATATATATATAATTCAACATTCTGAATTTACCCCAAGACACGATTATACTTTTTCCACCAGTGTGAAGAAATCTCGCTCTTCTTGTTTGATTACATACTTGAATATCTCTGAGTGTAATCCTTAGGCAGAATCTAACTAAGCTGCCTCCATCTATGCTCAGAACAGAGATTCCTCAAGTTTCTGCAGGGACACACTTTTTCCGGGGCAATCATCTTTGGACATCACACTAATAAAAGTGCCTACCCCTTCTTACCAGGGGTAAAGTCTGAGTAGAAAACAATGGGAAGGAGCATATCAATAACTCAGGGGCACAACTCTAAAATGCCGTTTTGGAATGATTTTTCTAGAGACAACTCCGAGCCTAAGTTTAAAAGTGGGCTCTTATTTGCAATTTCTGTAAAAGCCATAAAAATTCTTGATATTGTCATTTGGGATTACACCGTATTTCAGATGTCTAGGGAAGTCAGCAGAGCTATCTAGATCAAAACGGAGAGAAGCATCTTCATAGCATGAGCCTCAAACGCATATGACCAGGAATTCACTTCTGCTCTCCATGACGGAAAGAAACCAGGCAAAGGAGGAAAGATGAGACCTTGGAACAAATGCCCTAGAGAGAAAAGTGCAGCATTCAAGAGCCATGTAAATACAAAAAAAACTGGCTCATCTTGTTCAGAAATACCAGGAAGTGTAGAATGTATTCTTAAGTCTTGTGTTTTATTGAATTGGAATGTAACTGTCAAATGCTAGGAAGGGTGCTAGCCCTGACCAATCTAGGAAGACCAGCCAGCTTGATATCTGGTGGCTAAACTAAAGGACCACAAAGGTGCATTTTGGCAATTCTGAAATGGTTTTACCATTAGTTTATACATATGTATAGTTTTTCTTTTGATTATAAAACAGCCAGATAGCCAGCAATTAAGGTGTTTTTTCATCTTTGTGAAACACATAGGCAAATTACGACTCTAAAATGCACAGCCTAAATGAAATCTTTCATCTCAATCTGTATATATATATATTGTACATGACTGCTAGTAGGTATGAAATGCATTTCAGAATTGAAAACTCATGCAACATAATCATGTGTTTGCATAGGAATGTTACAGTTCTTTCTACTGCAATTTAAAAATGGGAAAAGCAGTGCCATCTAGACCTTTTCTCATTTCTTCAAAAGCAGTGCTAAGTAAAATAACAATGATGATGATTTATAAACCAAAAGACTTTACATTTTAGCATTAGGAACACAGAAAAAATATGTCAGCTTTCAAAAGCACAACATGTAAAGAAAGTACAGTGTAATGTATAAAGAAATGAATTCCATTTTTTAAGCAAGACCTGCATTAAATTGGCAAACAAGATAATTTCTATTCTCTGTAGGTAACTGTGTTCCGGTTTTATGATGAACTTCATATTCAAGAACAGAAACAGAAAAACAACACCAATAAAAACAGGTCTTACAACATATTTATATGTATATATGTGTATATATAGATCCATATGAACATACATACATATATATGCATTCATATGTTGGAAAACAAAAGGAATCAACTCATATGTTTTGTTTCCTCCATTAAACCAGAATATGAGTATTTTTAATTTGGTAACCAACAATCAACACATTGAAATAAGTAATACAGGGTACTGAGCATTTCTCTATCAGCAAATCAATGCCTACTGTTCTTATGAACCATTGCACAGTTTGACACTACAATAGTACTGTACCTCAGAACATAGAAGTTAACTAGTTCTCACTCGCTTGTCTAATTGCTCTCTTTTTCAAGGACACAAATAACATTGTCTATCGGTAATTTTAAAACTGTCTTAAGAGAATGAAAAATGATGAACATTCCTCCTGGAAGGATGGGGGAACAGAGGGAAAAAAAGCTAAACCCCACCATGTTGGTTAGGGAAAAATACTCACAACTGTAGCAATCATGCCATTTTGCTAATTGTACAGAATACATGTTATCTGAGTAACCATAACTTTCACCAAGCGTGTGTAAATATTAAAACAGATTTCTTAAATATTTTTAACTTCTAATTTGTATTTTATGGTAAGACAACATGCTAATTCTGTTTATGGCTTAAGTCGATGTGTTATTATGTAAATAATTAAACATGCTGTAAATGAATAGCCCGTAGACACAAATAATTGTGTAGATTTTTTTTCCTTAATTTTTTTTTGTTTGTTTTTACAAAGTATAGTAACTGGAGTGCCCCAGCAGAGTAATTTAAACACCCTTTTGCATAAATGGTTTGGAAATCTCAGACAGAAGGGTTTCAGTTTGCCATCTAAATCAATCTCTCTCTCTCTCTGTCTCTCTCTCTGTCTCTCTCTCTCTCTGTCTCTCTCTCTCTCTCTGCCTCTCTCTCTCTCTGGCACACTGTCCTTCCAAGCCTTTGCTTTCCTATTCCCATTCTTTCCCTCTTTATAAGAAACCTTGTAGCGGTTTTTGTCACCAGTGTGAGAACCAAGAGGCAGCCTTAGAAATGAAAAATGGGAAAAATGATTATGGATAGCATAGAACTTTTTATATGTCAGAGTACAAGAAACCAAAGTTTGCACTTTAAGTCTCAATTTTCAAAAAGTAAAAGTTTGTATTGATGGCACTAGAGAAAATAAAAATGGTTATTCACAACAGCTCCAGAAATTTGTTACACAAAATGGAAACTAGGAGACTTTTATTAATACTAGCAATTTGTCCTTAGATAGTATTGTTCCTTTCAACCAAAGACTACAGAATTATTTTTTAAAATGGAAGAAAACAAGGGAGGAAATGAGGGGAGAAAGACACTGCTTCACACCAAAGGCTTAAAAAACATTTTCCAAATGCACTAGGAAGATTGTAGAAACCAGAAAGGAGTCAACAGAATGCTAAAGAAAACACTGTCCTAAAGAAATCATTTTTCAAAACTGGGGGAGGCATCTGTAAACAGCTTAGAACTTTGAAAATTGAAGACCATTTCTGTTGACATGTGCAGAGTTCTGAGTGAAATTTCAGTTTGCTTTGAGAAGTATTTTTGTGATAAAGATGACTCAAAATGATGAACACTAAAACTTTACTCTTTGAGTTCCAAAGCCGAATGTCACCCCATCACATGTCCTCTGATCTGATACCAATGTCTATGTCCTTGCACCATTGGAAGCAAGCTGATAGTTCTGTCAGCTTGTATTGATTTTGCTGTTATTCAAAATACGGTTCATCTATGTTGCTTTCAAACATAATTAATTCAAATCGAGTTACCTATAATTTAAATTCCATAATATTTTTATTTTTATTTGCATGGGTGTTTAAATGGTTCTGTTATGAATACTGTCCCTGCATAGTTCTGAACTGTCCTTTTATAAAAAGTGATATTCTAGTTTCTTCACAATGTAGTGATTATCAGCCTTACTAATTACCTTGTAGCCTTTCTTAACATGCACATAATGCACATTTTCCAATGGCTAGAAAATGCAAAACATAAGTGGATATCACTGCATCTATTTTCAAGTCTTTCTAAAAACAGGACTATTCAAATCTCTGGGATACATGAGATAGTAAAAAAAAAAATGAGGATTATAAAAGAATAGCACATAAGAATTATTTTCTTGAATTTCAACTTATTGCAGCCAGTTTCAGCATGTAAATATATAACAATGTTGGCTAGTGTGTAATTCTTGAACTAAGAAATATAAATAAAAATTAAAAGTTTGTGTGTGCTGTTTCATTGTGTCCAGAACATGTTTTTCTTGTTAACTTTTACTGTGAGTTATATTGTAGAATCATGGCTTTTGTGAAAAGGAGTGGAAATCTCGAGAGCTTAGGACCTGCTGTTAGGAAAATCAGAGCTCTGATTTTCCACTTATTAGGCTGATGACCCTGTAGCCACCTAACTCACCCAACACTTGGTTTTCTTGTCGACAAAGCAAAGACATAATTCTGCTTCCTTCACAGTGTAGTGGTAAAGATGAAGATAACTCAGGAGGAACCCTTAGTAAAGTACACAGTCCATGGGAAGTCGTCAGTAGGGGAAATGCTGTTGGTGTTGTCAGTTACCATCATTCTACAACATCCGGCATGTATCTCACAAGTGCTGTCATAATAGCTAAAACTTAACAGAAATTATTACTCTCTTAGTTTAGGTATTATGTTAAAAATAAATAAGAACTTACCTCCATAGTGGAAACACATGATAAGTACAAGGCGTTCATTTATTTAGCATCCAACATGTATCTACTGAAGAAATACTAGTGTAATGGCAAACAGAAACACCGAAACAACACCCAAGATTTGGAGGCAGATTTATTTACATCAATGGGCGCTGGTAAGAATTATTTCCAGAATATCAGGCCCTGATCTCTGGTGGTCTAGGGCTTATTTGGGATAAACAAGCAGGAAGTACAGAGGAAGAATGGCTTGTCAATTTGAGATTGGTTTATACAATGTGCATCATAGTGACCAACTATTGACCAGCCGTTTCTAAGAGACGGGAGCAACCAGAACTGGGACAGGAACTATTACCTGGGCAATGTAGAAACTGAAGGCTGGATGAGGGTGGGAGCATTTTCTGTTCTAATAATTACTTTACAAACTTGATCTTCACTAAATTCCAACCCTAGTCCCTGAAGCAGAAGAAACTCAAGCTCAGCAAGAATATATGCCTTGCTCAGGAGAGTAGAACCCGCATTTCTACCCACATGAACTCACCGCTAAGTCCTTGCAAGGGATAGTCACTTCATCATTAAAAGTGGATTGTCAAAGTCTTATTCTGTTGGTCATTTCACAAGAAATGGTTCTTCAAATCCTGTTGTCTGCCATACCTAGTGCTGATATCAGAAAAGCAGAGGTGAGCACAAAAAGCACTTTCTTCCTCTCAAACTCAGGGAGCTCTCCTGAGCCCAGTGAATTATTTTGTAACAAACTTGTGCTTTACTTTCTGACTTTGTAATTTGCAAAGGTAGCTCAGTAGACTATTAATCTGAGGGACGTGGCCTACCAGGACATAATTGTCCAACAAAGTTGTTGGTCAGAACTTAGAGGTATGAAACAGTAAATATTATTGAAAAAACCATTAATAGGATGAGCAAAACTCACTTGTTTATTTACATTGTAAATTGTAAAATCTAGGAATTCAAAATATTTACATTTGTACCTAGAATCCTCTATGCTAAGTTTCAGCATTTCTGTCCAGCAAAAGAAAGAACGTGCATGCTCAAGTATGTGACCTGTGGTGCATGCACCCCCCTGTATAGGTGGGAGAAAGGTGAGGGACAAACAGGGAATACTACCCAAGACAGAGCATTTGGTCTACTTACCTCAGGAAGGGGAAATCTCTAGATGTTTCTCCTGGAAGCACCTAGCCCACTGGTGTTTGAAAGTCTCCCTCAGTCTTATTACAATTATTGTAATTTTGTAAAGTAGATCCTGTAAGTACCTTGTCTTCCTTCTGAAATTTCTTTTTTTTTTTTTTTGGTTTTTCTCCGGTACCGGGAACTGAGCTCACGACCTTGCACTTGACAGGCAGGCGCTTTGCCGCTGAGCTAAATCCCCAGCACCCCCTTCTGAAATTTCGTTTAAATCTGAAATATATGAGATCTTTCTTAAAGAATATTTCTCTGATACATGAAATCCACCTCTGAAAACAAAACCAATTTAGTCCAGAAAATTTTCAGAGATAAAAATTGGCATATAGCTTTCGATTACATAAAGTAAACAGCAGAAATATGTAAAAGCATTTGTGTCCCAGTATATGTTTGGGAGCATACCCACAAATTCAGTCTGACGATGTTGAGTCTCAGAACAATAGCATCCTTATCAATGCATTGATTTACATGTGTTCTTGTCTTTTCTCCTCTTGTGCTTCAAATATGTAGCTGGCCATGAGTACTTATGTTTTTTGCTAAAGCTGAAGAAGTTGTGAAGGCACACCTAGAGATGCTGTCTACTCTCCAGAAGTGCTTAATAAGTGAAAGGCTCTCACTTTAGTGAGAGGAAAAGTAATCTCTCAGATTCTGGAAAGAAAAAGAAAGGCACAGGTTCCATGGAAGTGGAGATATGAAGTTTCTTCAGTGGTGGGGGCCTGGGAATGGCAGATCCCAGGGCAACTGGCAGAGTGAAGCTGGTCTCAGGGTGCTGCCACATGCACACAACACAGTCCTGTCACCATAGGAAAGGAACAAAATAAATGATGCAACTCAGAAGAAACGACATGTGACATTTGCTTTATAACTTCATTTTAAATATTAGATTCATCACTAAAGTCCCATCCTGAACAGAGTGGCATCTTTGGTCTCTCACTATTTCGGGAAGTGTTATGAGAAACAAGAGGGTGAATTTGATATAATAATTATTTTTTTATTTTAAAGAGAGTAGTAAATGAGAAACAAACAAAAAAAAAATAGAACAATAGCAGCACACCAGTATCACAAACATAGACAAATCAAAGCAAGAACATTTAAAGTGGTACAGGGTTTCAAGACAAAATAATACAAATTAACAGTGGTTGTTACATTACATATCACTATCCTCAGTTACATTGCTCAGATTACCAGATGTAAGAATGGAAGATTGCTCAAACCATTAAAGAGAATAAGAAAATAATTCTTTGATAAAACATTAGAGATAATACAGAGTTTCACTAAACAAGATGGTAGGAGTTCACCAATGTAATTCCATTTCATATTGTTACCTTCAAATCAATTGCTCAGACCACCAGACACAAGCATGCAAAATCAATCAGAACATAAAAAATTGTAAGCATTAACTGTTCATTTCAAGACACCATCAGACATCAGCAATACAGTCATCAGAGCTATTCATATATATATTTATATCTTGCCTTCCTTCTTTCTTTTTTCTTCTTTCCCTCATCCCAGTCATTCCTTCCTTTGAACAATTTCTTTCCCTATCTTATCATCTATTGTATGTGTTGAGTTTTACCTAGTCTTTCAGGTTTCTACACCAAGGAGACAATGTGATGTTTACACATCTGGGTACAATTTATTTCCCTTACTGGAAGTCCCATTTAACCCAGCTATTTCCCTTCTGGGTATTTTCCCAGAAGAATGAAAGACATCATACCACAGAGATATATGTGCACCCATGTTTATAGCAGCACAATTTGTTATAGCTAAATCTTGGAAACAACCCAGACTCCCATCCACTGAGGAATGGATAAAAAAAGATATGGTATTTTTATACAATGGAGTATTACTCAGCTATTAAAGAAGATAGAACTGAGGCTTTTGTAGGTAAATGGATGAAACTGATATAATAATTTAGAGTGCTATTCTTGGAAATAAATTTCCAAAGAAGTAGGTATAGTTGGTTCTAGGTTTGAAAGTTAGAAAGCTAAAGAGATACAACTTAGTAGAGAATTAATGTATCCCATCATTCTATGTCCTGCAAACTTGCATGATTACAAAAGCTTCACAGGAATTATGAACAAGTAACATAGGCTGGTGTCACACTAGGGAGATGCAAAAGCTATAGAGAGCTATAGAGATCTTGAATAACTTTAAAGAGGCAGCCACTACTGAGCCCTCTCCAGTTGTGACCTTGAGGAACTGCAAGCCCAATAGCACCGGGTTAATGTATGTCAGAAATCGCAGATGTGCTGAACCTTTCCCATGCCAAACAGGTACAGTACAGTCAGAGGAAGGCTGACAATTTCATTTTCTCCTGTACCCAGAACCCCATCCCAGTGCTCTGGCTGTCTTCCTCAGGCTGAGGTCGAGGAGGCCGCATGGTAGAAACTTCATGTGGTAGGCAGCTTGGAGATTGTGATAGCATTGGTAAGATCAGGTTTTCTCATCTTCATGCAGGCGCACACCTTGCAATGCAAGCAAGGAAAATGAAGCTTTGTTGTGTTGCTTCAAAACAAAGAGATAATTTATTTTTTGCAACCAGAGATTTTTCACCATGTGAACTGTCTGATGGACTTGTAGGTCACTCACAACCTTGTAACATGGGCCTTTATCTTTATGCTCTATCCTCTCACCCAGAAGTCCCTTGCCTTTTGTCACTTTCTGGACTGAGAAACAAAGGCCCTGGAGAAGAAATGTCACTGGGGAGCAAGTGGGTTATAATGGAACCAGGAGTGGTTGTGGGGGCCTCCGAGAGACAAAAGGGAGGACAGGAGTACACGGCTTAAGCGGAGACTCTGTTGGTTAAGTAGAAGGCAGCTCCAGTGACTGAGCACAGAACACCACTTAAATGAGCAATACAGGCCTCTCACAAAGTTCCCCACCCCAGGTGCCCAAGGTGGATTGGAGATGAAAGAACTGAAGTGAAGAACTAATCAAACAACATGCAGAAATGTGTGACATGAAGCAGCAGTGAGCAAGAGGAGAGCTGAAAAGCCAAAGACGAGTGCGGTGCTAATTATGATAATAAAAGTATCGTTGGCAAAGCAGTTCGAAAGTCACTAATTCATTGTGGTGGGCTTAAGAATGGTCTCACTCAGTGTTCTTGAACAAGACCAAGGAGAAAAGGAAGAATAAATAGAAGGAGAGCAGAAAGAAATAAAGGGAGAAAGATATGAAATTCAGAAATGTTTTCAGCACCTGACACCCCCAAAGTCCCAGTGGGTTATATGAATTTAATTTGTGCAACAGAGCGAGGTGTGACTCTTGTGCTGCAGGGACCCAAAATGGCCACAGTTGTCATTACTTACCCCAGCTGGCTGACCCCAAGTCTCATGCATATAACTTTT